GAATTTGCCAAATAAAAATGATTGTAAATAAAAATAAATTAAAAAAATATATACTTTCTAAGAAATTTTATAGATTTATTTAATGTACCAACTGTAGTCTTTCCAGTTACTAAATTTTGTTTGTAGACGTCTTTTTATTAATTAAGTAGAGAACAAAGGTCACTAGATTTTTTGTTTTTTCGAGTATCAAAACTTAATTTTCCTAGATTATTGCGTACGAGTTTAAAAGTACGTTTTTGTTTCATTCATTGAAAATGTTGGAATATCTATTAATATCATGAACAAACCTTAATATATTAATAGCAGTATTTCTTGCTACCGTGCTACCTTATTCAATACTGAATTATGAAAGTAAAGCTACGACTACGATTTTTAACAATGAGATAAGCGCTAAAGTAGCTGCAGTGATTTGGAGTCGAGTTCCAATAGAAGCCTGGAAATACGCCAATGCAGAGGTGAAGGATAATGCATATGAAATCTTAAATGCAAAGTAAAAAATCGATGCACTAGAAAGCCGGGATCAATTTGTAATTTATTGGACACATTCACATTTACAATTTAAATAAAAAGAAGACGAAAGTTGCATTTACAATAATAAATGTATGTTATTGGATCCGTGATTTTGATAATAATACATTATTTAAATCTTTGTTCAAAATAAGTGAAAATATAAGAATTTTGTATTGAACATGAAATTATCTAGTAACTAAAGACAAATCTATATTATTGTATACTGTATATATTTATTATTATATATTTAGTGAAACTTCGCTACCCGAGCATAAAACAAAAATGTAATGGTTTCCAAATAGTGTTTAGATTTTTCAATGAAAAAATTCTCCAAATTCAATTTAATTTGTTAAATAAATATTATTGTAATAATAATTATATATCTTTATCAATGAAACGTGAATTATAATTTTTACTACAATTTTTTTTTCCACAATTTCTATTGTAAATCTTAAAACAGAAAACCGCTACATTCAATCAAGTTCAAAATGTTATACAAATAATTAACATAGAAGTAATAACACATACAATACATACTCTGCGTAACATATTTTGTTCAAAAACTAAAACCGTTCTATTTTCCTCGATATATTCAATCGAACATTTAAAAGTCCAATAAGCAAAGCAAACAAAACAAATCAGTCGTTAAATTTTAATGCAAACAATTTAATTATTTTGTTTGAATTGTCAATGGTTTTTATTTCACATTACCAAAGAGCATATGTATATATTTTTTTTGTTGTTATTCCAATTATCAAATACAGAAATACAGTCCAATTAACAAAAAATAAATATTGTGTACCTGGTTTAATGCAAATATGCACATATTTTTTTATTTTTCGATAACTGTAGAAATTGCGAAATTGGCATTTAAAGTGGAAAAAAAACAAATGAACAAGCTTTAACTGAGTTTTTTAGTTAATTGGAAAAATAAATCAATTGGAAATAAAATAACCATTATACATATTGATGAATGGTTTTCCCAATTATTTTATAATTAATTATTTACATGACTACTTTATATTCTTACTTTAATTTCATTGTATTCGTCTTATTGATATATATTGTTAATAAGCATTAGAAATGATGAAAAATATAAAAAAAATCTTATGTTTTGTTTATTAACTTTATTAGTTGTATTTTATGAATCATGTGAACATATTTTTTGTATTACATCCATTTTCTTTACAATCTATCATAAAAAGGACAATAAGTAAACTTATTGGTGATAGAAATGCCAAGTAGATGATACTGTTGAGTTCTATCATCTGCAATTGTTAACGTAGTATTTTTTTTAGTAAATTTAATTAAATACATGTGGTAAGTCTACAACGTAGCACTTGTTGTATATATATTTATGTTTGATTTACTAGTAGATTTTCATCTAGTTTCTTTAGATGTGATTGTAGTCTTCTTTAGTACCTTTCATTAAAGTTTATAATTATACTTTTAACTACTTCCATTTGCAAGTTACTGTGTATAACACTATTGAGGATATACCAAGGTACGTAGGTGATTGTACACAATGTTTTTTTATTGGAATCGCTGGAGTATTGCGATTCTACAGTTGCTTGCTGAACCCCGAAACTGTATTCCATATAACTAAGAAGTCTAGTTTTTATTGAATTTCAGACCTAATTGCTTTCTCTTTATCTATATGTTTCTTCCAAGTGAGTCGCCTATCCAAATGTATACCAACATATTTTACATGATCCTCCTACTGTAATACTTATTTATTTAAAGTTAACGGAAACATGTTTTCTTTCTCATCACAAAAGTGGCATATGTCGATTTTGTTTCGCTGACTTTAATACGCCATTCTTTGAGCTAGTGTTCAATCTGATTTAATCCTCTTTGCAAGTTTTGCGTTGCAACTTCAGGTTTACTATTAGAGGACATTAGTGCTGTATCTAAAAAAAAATCTTGAGGCTAAAATATCTATTATATCTGCAGCCTCAAGAAAAATAAGTATTTAATGTGAAAAGTTTTTGAAAGAAGTTGAAGTAAGTTATAAAGTATTATTACATTTGATTTCATATTATTCACTAGTTACGAATGTCTGAAAAACAATATCAATTAAACGTTTGAAAACACGAAATAAATAATTAAAAAAAACTTGAACGAAAAGTTGCAATATAACAAGGAAGGGTGTTAAAAAAAACAAACAAAAAAAATGTGGGAAATTTAAAAAGAACCTGTCACCAACAGAAATCCCTGTCTGCTCACGTAAAAACCAAATCAAATTCCACCCATATACAAAGCAGGAGGAAGCTTCGAAGAAAAAGCGGTGACATTTGGAAAGCAATTTCACCAACTTTACTGCCACTAATAATGGACACTTCCGCTGATGAAGAGAGTATCAATCAATTTGGCGAATCACCTTTTAAAATTAGATAAGGATTGATAGACTTCGATTATAATAAATATTATAATATCCACACATTTATGCCAATTTATTTTTGCTTAAAACTAAATAAAACTTTATATTTTATGTATTCCTCAGATTAAATATAGAAGTTATTTGAAAATATTCGAACTATGTCAAAAAATTACAAATTACACAAACTTTATGAGAAAAAATAACACAATTTGACATGTCTTACTTATATGACTTATCAAACATTTAAATAGTGATCTTTTTTGTTCTACTAGATATTGAATGAAAATTAAATAATTTTCATTTCAATTAATATTTTAATATATATTTTGAATATGACCTTTTTAACAATTCATGTGTTGTTTTGTTGTTGTTTTTTTTTAACAAAGTATTATTAAATATAGGTATCCTCCGACTAACGAACTTCCAGACTTACTAACAAAATTCTAAAAGCTCTTTCTTGTTACAAGGAGATATATAGTGAGAAAAATTAATTAACTGTCCAAACAAAAATTGATAATTTCTTTAATAAAATATAATATTTTTGCATATTTTGAAAATTCCCTCGACTTACGAACAACCCTTTGTAACGGAACTAGTTCTTAAGTCGGGGGATACCTGTATACAAATAAATATATCAACAAAATAATTTGAAATGCAGAAATACTGATTTTTCGTAAAACAAATCATTTTTAATAATATAGTTCTTCTAACTTAAAATTAAGTAATTAGAATGTTTAAAATAAAAATAATGTAATTATCGTACCATAATTAGAAAATTTGCAAACTTTTGTACAAAACCTTATTTTTATATTTATACCTCATTGCATAAGTATCTATTAAATATAATCGATGCTTTATTACCTAGATAACCTATTGTTAAATATGATTATCGATTACATAATGTACTTAGAAATGTTTAAAAAAATAAATTACAACTTCAAAAGGACATTTTAAATATTTCTAAATCTGTTACCAAATTTGTATCATTAAGTTATTCACAATTTTCTATTGGTTCTAACATCCTGTCTTGGGCATTTTTCGATATTTTGTTGTCATTTATTACAAATATTAAGATTCTTTTAAAGTTCTCCACAATTAATTCAAAAATTAAATGAAAATATTTATAAATTTATACATTTTGATATTAAATAAAGCATTTATGTAATTTTAGCAAGTGTATGTTTTTATTTATTTATTTTATTATTTATTGTGTATAAAATAAATGATTATAGAACTCAATAAAAGATTAAAAAATGGCTTCAATCATGTAGAAGATCTAATGAGATACGGTTTCCTTTTCTGATCGTTCGACTAATTTTTTTCCAACTAAATTTCCTGCACCACAATTGGTGGGGTTCAATTATAGCCAATTAACCGACATCCTCATTGAAAACATCTTCGTTTCGTGAAGCAGCGGAAAATTAAATCTGTAAATTTAATTGTTTAATAACAGTTTAATAGGTTTTTAATTGCTTAAACTGCATATTAATTCCCACTCTCTTCTTATATAAGTGGCAAATGACAAATACGGAGAAAAAAAAAAGAAAAAGTAAACAAATAAACACCATCAATCTTCTCAACGTTCGACAATCTCCCGCCGTTCATTGTTTCTTTTCATTCTTTTTGGTACTCCTTCTTTCATTAGCAAAATAGCGCAAATTCCCACGACAAATTAACTTGAATTTGGTTGTAGAAAGCTCTCCTATTGAAGTTCGCCTCTGTAATTTGCGCTTCGCTTGAAAACTCTTGATGAAGATTTTACGAAGAAGAAGAATAAAATATCTACTGGAATTTAAATATTGCTTTAGCAAGTTAAATAATTGCATCAGTGTGACTTCAGATGATGAGGTTAGAAAATTGTTTGAATGTTGACACGTGCAAGACAAATATTTAAAGGAATATACTCTGGATGTAGATTCTAGAGTAAAGAACGCGTATATAGCTGTTCGCCATTTAAATAATTACTTTGGTGGATGTGAAATTAATTCGGGTGCCGAAGTGTTTGTAAGACGTTGACAAATATGATGATATTGACATGTTCCGTGTAAATATTGAACGCAATAAACTAGATGCAATTATTGTCAGTGAATTATGTGTCGGACCAATTTACCTATGGATAAATATTTGCTGGATGTGTCACGTATAACCGGGAGGTTATAACTTCTTAACTTTGGCGGCGCGCAACTTGATTAACTGATCTTGCTTGTCCAGAGGGAAAACTTCACGTAACTATCTCGCACCCTTCGTTAAAACCCAGGATCCGTGTGTTCGTGTATCTTCCGTATTGTCTAAGGCTGATTAAGAAGTTTCTTGATGTTTGAGTTTCTGTTTTCGCACAATTTTAACCGGAGGTCAGGATGGTAGATCGAGAGAACACACGACGTCCGGTTGGGATGACGACGCTCACAGATCCGGCGTCGCACCAAGACTGACGCCGTCGCGCGAATACAGATCGTGTGCAGGTGAATTAGCGCCAAACTCCAGCATCCGCCAAGCGCAGATCTTCACAGATTTCATCCCATGGTATCAGAGAAAAAAATCATATGAAAATTACATAATAATACAAGATTTTTTCAATACTGTAGTAGTTGTAATCACAATAAAATCAACAACATTGTTTATTAAAAACAAATATCATTATGTTTAAAAGTCAAAACATAATTTATTAACTACGATAAATCTAAAGGTGTAAAAACTACTATTTTTACTAATATACTCAACTAAATTAATATGTTTCTATTCGTTATGAATATCTATAATTTTCCTTAAACACTTTGATTATCGACTTTGTATGATTTACATGTTAATTATGCGATTTGTACTTCACCTTAAATATTTCTTTTTCACTAATGACTACGACCTTAGCTTAATAAACCAATACAAACTATTGAGTCTTAATAATGCATGTATCGTTTTTAGGTTAAAGTTTGACACATTTATTATCTTGAAATATACATATATTATTACCGGATTCTCATCCAAAGCCAAAATTGCAGTATCATCGACGAATTTTATATTAGTTTTGGGAATATCTGCCTTGTATAGAAGGTAAAGCAAAGATCTCAATATATTTCCCTGCGGTGCAGCCGACTATTGACTGTAAATTAATACATCTTCTATGTTCATATAAAAAATTATATTCTCTAGATAGATTTCAGTATTTTTTATTATTATTAGGGCAATCTCCTCTTTATGTTGTATAATAGACTAATATAGCATACTTTATCAACACATGAGCTATATTATTTCCATATTTTTGTTAGTAATATCAACAAGTTGACTTGCTGAATTGTAGCGGTTTTAAGTTGAAGTTAAAAGTTTTATATAATTAAAGAACTCAAAAATTCAAAATCTTGTTGTATCTAGTTAAAACATAAACATTTTGATACAAAATCTTATCTGACATAAAACGGGAATATTGTTAAATAGTAAGTTTCATGATACAAACAGAAAATCGACAAAGAATTAAGTCTTATTCTTGAATTCTTAACAACAACTTTAAAAAGGGCTATGGAAAAATCAATTCATATTTTTTTATTGTTTTAGGGCAGAATAAAGAGTTTTATGTAATATTTTCGATTATTTTAAGTTTTAGATACTTTCTCTTTATATTTAACTTTTCTCTTTATATATTTTCACAAACTTCGAAAACCGCTATCATAATAAAAGTAGGTTTTTGTATAAACCCTAGATGGTATGGCCTATCATGATTCATCCTTTGACATACCAAACAAATTAAAGGATAATTCCTCTTTCCTGGACATTTCCTAAAAAAATATAATAATGTCCCACTAAGCAAAAGGTGGGACAACTGTCTCTCAAAGAGTTAAAACATAATATACTGTATACTTTTATTTACATATTGTGCAATGTTTTATTATTTTCCTAGTAAAATCATTTTATTTGATTTTCTAAACAGCAGATTTGTAGAGACACTTTTATTGGTTAGCTTATAAAATAAGTAAACACTAAGACGGCCGTGACCCAAACCACATTAAATTGAAACCCGGATAATCGGCGTTTTACTGTATTTTCACAATCATGTCATAACTTGTATGTTTTTTAGAGAACACTTTTTAATGTAGCTATAGTATTTACATCAATACAAATATGTTCTTGAAATATTATTTTTTTTTTCATAATTAGCTATTGAAAGTTTAAAATCAGTTAAATTTATAGTACAATTGATTCAAATCTACTTTTATACATTTAAAATTGATTCACCACAAATTATTTTCCATTTAATATTACTAGACTAAGTAAAAATGGTCATTTTAATAAAAACAAACTTAATTTATCTCATGTAGAAGATTTCCATAGAAAACATCATTAACTTTTAAGTGCTTTTATCTATAACATCCATCGAAGGGTGACAATATCAATCATATCTGTCGACATGACCCTAAAATATTGTTCATTTTATCTCAATGACGTAGAAAATACATATTTTTTTCTTGAAAAGACGTTAAATGAATATAAATAAAAATGAAATCCAGTGCGTTCCTGAAAATAACAAAACAAATAACAAATAGCACATCATAAGCACTTGAAACGTAACGACCTAAACATTACGATTGAACAGTCTGTTTATACAAAAACTGATCCGACTCTATTGAGGTTCAAATAATTATTACTAGAAAAACATTTTTACCCAATGCTATAAGAATAAACTGTTTCAAAATCAAATTTTCTTTATAAATACATCTTATGATTTATTAATATTAATTACAAGTTAGAATTAAGATATTTAATTTTGACTCAAGAATATTGTTTCACTATAAATGGGTTAGATGGGTTAGATCAGGGGTTCCCAAACTATGTGCCCCACTACTATTAACATAAAGTTCGACCTGAGATAGATCAATGTTTTGACTTGGGGCGCCGTGGAATTCTGGTATATTAAGGTCGCCGCAAACCGAACAAGTTTGGGAACCACTGGGTTAGATAATACCAATAGTTTTTTATACAAGATACACTTTTGTCATTTATGGGAAACTGGATTATAACTACAAATACAAAAATAATAATTTGTGTTATTATTGTTAAAAATATATAGCTTGATCAGACTTTTCCCAAAACTGAAAAAAATTCTTGCTGAAATGCGTTTTTCGTTCATTCTACAGACAGCTTTTTTTGCAAACCTTAATTCAAATAATTATAAGCATGGTATAGAATTGTCAGAAATTCTTTGGACTAAAAGTATTGAGGTACAAGAAGATTATATTAAAAATTAAAATATTTTTTAACCAAAAAATTCATATTTTCCCTGTCGGTTTCAAAACTTTTCAAATTATCAACGAACTAACAATTTATAAAATATTTACAATCATTAAATCACTTTATACATAAATCTACCTTTAAGCTTTAATATAATATAAATAATATATATATAATATCTGGTTCATTCAAAATAATATAAAGGAGAGATTTAAACTCGATTTATATATTGCCAATAAAAAAAATGAAATTATTCCTTCAATTCCGACATTCTAAGTTTGCGCGGTTTAAATGTAATTTCGAGATGAAAAGGCAACCGTAGGGCTTCATAAAGTTGCACAGATATAATTAAAGTCCGTCCCACGATATTACCCCTAGTTAAGTGTGTGGGCCAAGTTATCATCATTTCCATAATGGGTTCTACGACCTAAGCCTATATTCATATATAATATATACATTCCGTTATCGGCAGCAAAAGTATTTTATTATTATTGTCATATTTGAATATGAGAATTATAATTGTATATGAATTTCGTGAAAAAGGTGTCTAACTTATTAATATTATGAAGTGCAGTAATACTTCGCATAGTACAACTTCAATCAGTGCTAATTTACTTTTGAAAATTTGAATACACACTAAATTTTAAGTATTATAAAAATAAAATAATACAAATTACATGTCCGTTTCAAACTGTGCTGGATATTGGCAGAAATAATTACCCGCACTATGCGAGATATGTAACACATTTTATAAATATTTCAATAGAAAAAGATTTATATCAATGAAAGTTGAAGTTTAGAAACTAGTAGCAACAAGTTAAAACGAACTTGTGGTAGTTCAAAGTAGAGAACGTGCGCGAAATTCCAATTGACCGCTTAAATGCACACTAACATTTAACAGAAAATATTTTTATACAGTAATACTTCGATATACATCGTTTGTTCTTATGTCAACTGTACATTAATAAAGTAATCGATTTATCTGCAAACAAAGACACAACGTATTAAACTCTAAGAAATTTATAAAAATATTCTTAATGTACCTTTTCATATTTAGTTATGTTTGATCTAGACTATATAAATGTAACAATTTTAAGTAATAATAGCAAGTTAATAAAATTAAATAAAAATCCATAACCAAAATATTTGATAAATCTTAATTATAAACTAGCGAAATAATAATTTCCATGATGTTGCTTGCTTTACTTCTTGCATACACAGTAAAACATGTTTTTATGCACTTAGAAAATTGGTCAAAGATTTATGAAATACATGAGAAAGTGCATCCAAACAAAATAAATAAATAAATTACACATGGAAATATTTTAAAAACATTTCATTTCTCATTGTACATATGGAGAAATTTTCAAAATGCACATAATTCACTGCTACTCGTATTAATCCAAAACGGGCATCTTCTTATGATGAATTAGTTCAAAATTGACTAGCAGAATCGTTTGAGCAGCTGTACATATGCACAGTGCTAGAAAACACTACAATGGCGATTCTCGTTTAGCGATTCCTCGATGTAACGCGATCTATTTGAATCTTAAAAAAGCTTTAAATTTACCCATATGTTAATGTGACTTTATTTAGCGCTGTTTCATTTATTGTGTACGAACACATTCACATTTAAATGTTGATACTTTCAAAATATCTCAATATTTGGAATAAAATGATAAATGATAAAACTCCAAAAATATGTTAAGATAAGATATAACATGTATGTATGTTTTACAGTGAAGATTAACTGTGTGAAATCTATTTCGGTGCTTCGTCGCGGAATTCTGGAGCGATGGTTCAATAATTCGCGAACAAACATGTTCATACATACACTATCTTCGTCGGAGCTTCGGTTCTGTTGGCCTTATTATTTTTGCCAAAAACGACAAATCCTGAAGCAAATAATACCCACTCATGCATTACAAATGAGTCCTCGATGTAAGAGTGTTATTTACGTAAAAGCTTGAAATGCTTGTCTACATACATTTTATATTACAAAAGCGAATGAAACTTGCAAATTACTGTTACCTGCAGGACTTACTTTTTAAATCTAAATTAATAAAAATGCGGTCACTTGACTTTTCATTGTAATTATAAAATAAATACTTTACGTCTGAATAAATTATGAATTGATTGACTACAATATTTCAGTTACATAATAAATTTCTAAAATAAACTTTGCTGTTTATGGAGAAG